AGAACACTATTTCGGGTAAATTTAATTATTTATACAGAATTGGATTTATACTTATTTTGGGAAAAAGTTTGTCCTTCTCTGTCTGCAGACATTAAAGTCTAATATTTTTGGTGAAGTGATGAAATGGTCGAGTCTTGGGGTGTGAGAGAGGTGTGGGTATAGTTGGGAGAGAAATGGCAGAACCATTGCTGGATCTCTGTTCGTAAGGAGCGGTTAGAGTAAGACTGGTATGCGATGCCATCGTTGATGAGTGGATGTGCTCTGGCTTTGAATCCTTTATGAATTTCAAGCAATACTCCAACTGAACGGCTCTTAAAATCTGTTGAAACCATTTCATGAGCCGTCGACGCAATTCTGTGGGTGCGGCCAATGTATAGATAATTGGGTTGAGAGCGCTGTTTATGGGCAATACAAACACCACAACCCAGGCGTACACATTAGCTATGGGTTGCAATACAAATGGTTACACTTCATAACGATTAGTGATATATTATGCTTACAAGAGATGGGGATCTGAATGAGCGCCAGAATCTTAATGACCACAATTGGTATCCAACAGAAACAGTCGGTGACGACAATACCGAAGAATCGGAGGGCGAGGATAGCGTCCTCTCGTTTACGGCCGACAAATACGGGCCGCGAAAGCTTTCGATCTCTTTTTATTATATAAAACATTATTAAATACAACGAAATAATCAGCAAAACCTGTGATTCGTGTGGAAAATAAGTTGAGATTATTGTTATTCAATTGATTAAAAACTGTTGAGTACTAACCGCTGGGAAATTGATGCCCAGAAAGACGAGCGCCGAGTATTGCCAACCCGTCATATATGGCTCGTCGATGTGTAGCGGAAAACAGAGACCATTGGAGGCATAGAAGACTCGGTCACCGGTTGTGGTATAGTATGCGACGGGATATGCGGCCAATAGAGTGGCCAATAGCCACACGACCGCCAAATTCATTTTGGCCGCAAATATAGTGACCACACGAAAGTTGGCGGTAATACAGCGATACCTCTCTATCGTTATAAGGGTTAGTGTAAACACCGATACCTGCGATGATAGCATTGCCATAAAGCCACAGGTCGTACACGACCACGAAGACATCCACGACAGCGCGTGACTCCGGTAGTCATCACGAAAGGCCAAGTCGTGGGCACCGATTGCGCACAAATAGATACCCATCAGTAAGTCGGCCGCTATTATAACATGCGGTACAGTATATCATAGTTTTATTATAAACGTTAGACTAATGTATAAAACATAATAAACACACATGATTAAAAATTGATAAACAATTTACGTCGATTAGTAATTTCTGATTAATCCAGAATATTAACAGAATATTTTTTACATTTTATTAAAAGTTTGTGTTAAACTAACATATATGGCGTATAAACTGTATAAAACATTAAATTAATCAAAAGTTAAATACCCGACAAGTTTTTAATGAAGAGCGACAGAACGTGGTCTTCCTTTTTGGACACTGATCTCCAGATGAGGACAACAACATTGCCCACACACGTGACGAGTGCCACAACCCATACTGAATATCTCAGTATTGGTAGTACTAACAGATGCTCAGCCGATGACAAACCATCAGTTATTGGACGACAAATACGAACTTCAAGAATAAAATTAATGCATTTGTAGATCAGTTAATGATTGGATTTATTAATAAAAATAGTATAATTAATTACTGTGTAATACTCATACCTCGTGGAGCGTATGAACAATAACGAAATTTTATGAAATATCTGTAAAATATAAAAACTATTGTTGACTAGAATTTAAGTAAATATTTATATCATAATTTGAATCATGATGTTTATCATTGGATATAAAATTTATGATTGCCATAAAAAATACATAAAAGTGTCCCTTCAGTCTACACCGGGAAGATCTAGGTTATTGTGCCATCAGTTGCATTAAAACTCTAATCTGCACATGGTAACTTACGAGTTAGTTTATTTAGTTTATATAGTTTTAGATACGATATTTTAATTGTTAGAAAATGTTTATGTAATGTTAAATTTAATCTAACCCCTGCTGATTAATAAAGTAATTAATCTTATTGTTTGTGCAAAAATGTATACAATTGACAGCACAGGGATAAAAGCATTGAATAACAAGGTCTCGTATAGTACAAGGATTCTGTTGTTTGCAATAAACTTTATTTAATACACTTTTTTAACTGTATTTTCGATTATAGAGAAGAAAAATTGTTTTTGTTAAAATTTTTGTTAAAAAGATCAAAAGGAAATGAAAGGTTGAGAATAACAGTTTGAAAAAACAATACAATAGAAATTACAATCAAAAAAGCGTAAAAATTTATTTTTCAAGTAAACGTATGGAAGACTTACATGTGTCGAAGTTGTGCACAATGACTGAAATGGACTAAATCGATGTTATCAATTGTAATGCCTTGTAAATCACTGCCAACAATAAAAAATACTGGTTATTAGTAATACTAATTTAGTATACTGAATAAAATATAATAAAATCAATTTATAGTATTTGAATTAACAAACAAAAATAAATGCTGAGAGTGTGTGAGAGAGTGGGAGAAGGAAATAGCGAGGCGGACAAGGAGTGGGAGAGAGAGAGAGAGAGAGATGAGTATAACTTACAGCGATTGCAAAGAATGCAAATCTTTGAATATAGTTCTTGGAAGAGATCGAATCGGATTGTGTTTTAGATCTCTACTCATTATAATGTAATCCCAAACCAAGTGTGTATTGTTATTGTCATTAATGTCACAATAGTTTTAAGTATCAATTTAATAAACATATCAAATATTCATACAGTATTATTTGAAACAATTAAAAACACTTACAATTTATTGAGATTATAAAGACCTTTGAAAGTGTCTGCGTGTATATTACTGTTGAGCTTATTTTCAGCCAAATCTAACTCTTCAAGTAATGGATTATCAATGAAAGCCATTTGTGATATGTATCGGATTTGGTTCAGCTTTACGTGACTAAACAAATGCATTCAAAGTATTTACAATTTATAAATCTTGGATAATTGAGAACATGTTTACATGCATTTACACATTAGTGATACTAAAGATATTTTATATTTAATACTCATTACAATATTTGAAAACACTTCACACAACATAACACAACATTAATTGAAAACTATACAAAATAATTATAAACTATACAATGTCAACATTTAACTCATACTGTATTAATAATAAATAGTTTATTTAATTTATTTGATGGTTGCATTCAAATGAATCATTTGTTCAGTTAATAGGCAATAATTTTTATTTATTTCTTTTATGTCATTATCAGTAATAGAAACGAAAAATAGTCTTACAGTGTCTTAAGCTTTGGAAGATTTCTAAATAGCTGTCCGTCGATATATGTTAAGTGATTGTTATCCAGAACTCTGCAATTAGACATAAATAATACATTTA